CCCCCCCGCCCCAAAAGTGAAATTCACAGTTACACTGGAAACAGCATTTGAAACCCTGACCATGTTCATTTTCACCAATATCCACTGCTATTGGACTAAACGTGTGTCCCACCTGTGCTCCTCTGCAACTGTAATTGTAAACATCTCTGAGAATTGGCCTGTGATTGGTGGTGTGGCAATCTGTGCAGGATGTTGACTGCTTCAGGGGTTCTGAGTAGGTCTGGAGCATCCTTCTTCATGAGTATTTTCCTCTCCTCCAAGGCTCTTTGCTCTTCCCCTCAGTACCCAGTGAGGTACTGTTGGCTTCTGTTTTCCAGTTACCCGCTGTTGTAGATTTGGTTGTCATAGTAACTTCCACTGGTACAACTGGGCAGGCTTGAATGCAGGCAGGGTTCAGGATAAAGGTGGAAGATGCAGGGCTCAGGGCTCTGGTATTCTTTCCTATTAAAAGGATCTCTTTTTTGGCCAGCTCAAATGCATTCATGAAGGCCCCTGGCCTCCACTTGTTACTGAAGGAGTGGCCAGAGAAAGACAAACCCCCTGCTGCTCTGGGTACTTTTTTTTTTTTTGGTACCGGGAATCAAATTTGGGTCCTTGTGCTTGCAAGGCAGGCAGTGGAACTGCTGAGCTAGATCTCCAGCCCCTGGGTACTCTTTCTGGAAGCTTTTGTTCATGATTTGTGGTGTGTGTGTGTGTGTGTGTGTGTGTGTGTGTGTGTGTGTGTGTGTATGTGTATGTGTGGTACTAGGGACTGAACCCAGGGCTTTACACTGTGCTACATCCCCAGCACTTTTAAATGTTGAGACAGGGTCTGGCTAAGTTGCTAAATTGTCCAGGCTGGGCTTGAATTTGTAACCCTCCTGCTTCAGCCTTCCTAGTAGCCAGGACTATGGGTGTGTGCCACCACATCTAGCTAGGATGCCTTTTCAGTACCATTTGCTGGCTGTTGTAAGGCATCTCAGAGCAAGACAGGCAGAACAGATTGCTTCTGGCAGAAGCCAATGGTGGGGTCACTTGGACTGGGAGAATTTGCCCACTCCCATCTGTCAACAGCACTAGTGTAGCTATCTCTCCTCTATTTTGTAGTTGAGGTCAAAGTTCTAACTGTACAGGTGACTGACCTCCCTTTAAAACATATGAAAGCTGCCAATATAGGCACACTAGGGAGTGGAGTTGTGAATCTGCCTTTCCAAAAGATTGGCTGTAGTATTCCTTGAAGAGGGGCAAATCCCTAGGTGTGGTGGTGCTGTGGGAGTGACATAAGGTTTTCTGGATATTGTTGTCAGGACAGACCCCTGGAAAACTTGGAAGAATCAGTCTACCAAGAGCAGAAAAGAATAGAGGTACCCTGCCTCTAGTCCCTCACTGCCTGTCTTTGATGAGGTTCATATTCTGAGATCAGAAGCACAGCTTTGAAGGAAAGGATCCCAGTTTCTGAGACTGAGGTAGGGAGAGCAGTTTCATTAGCTCTCCTTGCTGTGTTGAAATTTATCATCAGTTAGTAAACCTCCAGGAGTGTGCAGTGAAGATCCAGCAGGCAACAAGTGGCACACTATTCCTCTCTTCACAAAGCTGATGGCCCAAGACTCCTCTACCAGGTCAAGGAATTTGATCAGGGTCGCTGTTTCTAATCACAAGTCTACCTGGCATAGAGCCTGGGTTGGCCTCTCCACCAGAGTATGAGGTGCTCCTGCTACCAGCAGTTTAGTTCCTAGCAGCACTGAGGACTTCGGGATGTGCCAAGTATGTATGGAAAGTATAGTAAGGATTTTAATTAATACTGGGTAATTACTAGATGGTGCTTAACCATCTCAAATACCCTCCAGATTTCTAAGCATACAGCTCATCACTTCCTGGCTGGGCCTGGCACGGAGTAGTCTAGTGCCTAGGCTGTGGTAGGGACACCCTAGGAAGGTCTCTCCCTTCTATTTTCCTTTCAATCTTATGGGAGTCTGGGAGCAAGTGGGGTAATAGCCTGGGCTGTTTACCCATTCCCTCCCTCTCCCATGAGGCAAAAAGATAAACAGTGCCTTGTGGGTTGCACTTCATTAAGCAATGTTGGCCCAGGGCCCAGAGTGTGGGGAGAAGGGTGTACAGATCTCCACCTGGCAACCTTGGTGGGAGCACTCAAAAGGAGGAACAGGCACAAAGGTCTTTCCTGCTGTGGGCCTTATTATTTATTCTCACTGTATTCGGTTGGCTGAGAGCTCTTTCAAGGTTGTCTGTGGCTCTGAAATCATTATCTCACTGGAACTTCAACTTCCTATTATAATACCTTCCCCTTTGGACATCTCACAGACCTCATGTCGAATTGCTGAGGGGGCCTATCGATTACTCCACCTGTCAGCCAGGTTGGTCCTGACTTGACCAGACCTCTGCTTTGTGTTCTGTGTTCAGACGGCTTCCTACAGTTGTCCTCGGGGTCAGCGTGAACTGGCGGGACCGTGGCGAGCTGGTCACGGACCAACTTCCCTTTAGAAGCGTTTAGCGTGTGCAGAAAGAACAAAGGAAAGGCCCTCACGGCCAGCTTGTCTCCCTCTACCCTTCAGGTCCCTCGGTGGAGGTGACTGGGTCCAACTCGAGGTAGCTCC